GTCAAGACTTGCTGGCATCATTCACCTGCAGTATAAGAGCTTTCTGTGAAATTTATCAGCAGAAATCCTCTGCAAGCACATAGCTTTGGATATGAGAGTCAGTGGTTGAAGTTGAATTTCAAGGGCAGATATTTGAAAACAATGAAAGAAGCCCCAAATAAGATCTTTACATGTTTCCCAGATGAATATGTTTGGAAATATTGGGGAAGATGGAGATCAAGACTGAGAAGAGTGCACACCCATTTCAAGGTACAAAAACCAGGGAAAAACATGGGAAAGCAAGAGAGCTGGTTAATCTGATGTAAAAATCTTTGATGATGAAAGGAAAAGTATATTCTCATGGTGATTTAATCAGGCTGTAGAAGTGAAGTTCTCATGTTGGTTGTCCTATGTGTGGCCTTCTGCATTGGGAAGTGGGTGCAGGACAGGAGATCTTCAAATAAATCTGGTGGAACACAAAATACTGAAAAAAAATCAGCCTAAATCCTGTGTATTCCTTCCCTTTGAGAACATATATGGAGAATGTACAAAGTTTCAAAAGAGAAAATGTCTATTGGGTCATGGTTTCACCAATGAAATGGTCACTTCACATAACATTTTGAATTTTGCTTTCACACTTGCTCCTGTACCGGGCCTGAGTAAAGCAGAATGCAGAGTAAGCCTGTTCAATAGATGTGCATTCCATAAGTGGTTTTAAAACCAGTGAAACCCTTTGGACTTAGTGTTTGTATTTTATTGGTTGATTTATTTTTCAAATTGTTTGTTTTACTCTTTTAAACTGTGAGTCAGGGAAGCCCTCATTCATAGTGATTTAGACCTCTCCAAAAGCTCTGAAAGTATTCATGTAACAGCTATTACATGTTATAAGTTTCTGCTATTAAAACGTCAAAGACTAACAGACTCTGCCATTTTTCATCTAAATTCAGTGTTGGGCTAAATTCAGTGATGGACTTTTTACACGTCCTTTTTAATGTGTCCTCCTCTAGTCACTGGTCGTGCTGGAATTTACTTTCTTGTGAAGACAGGATTTGAGCAAATTGACACAAGTACAGTTTGCCACTACTCTGCACACCTGGATAAGTATCGAGTTCCCTAAATGGTGTTTGTTTTATTTTGATTTCTGCTCACACTTTGCTCATCCAGTTAGAACCGCAGTGCTCCAGGCCATGGCGTTCCAGGCCTAAACAAGAAAATTTCCATTCCGTTTGGTAGTTCATTCATCTCTCATAATTACTTTTTCCACAAATGTGTGCTTAAGGAGAGGCCCTGTCCAAATGTGGAGAGGCCCATTTTCATTCACTCACTTTCAGACTTTCTAAAATTTTCAGTTACTAGAGGTTTGTCCAGACTTGCCATTGTCAAGGGACAGTGCACTTCACTTGAAGTTGTGCAGTATTACTTCATGTGTCTCCATGGAAATTCCACCAATGGGAAACTCTTGCTGTAGTCATCTCCAAGTGTTGCTGTGTAAGAAAATATAACTAACAAAGAATGTGGTTTCAAGCAGAATGAGGTAAGGAGGGATTATCTTTATTTCAGTGCAGGTTGACCTTTCAAAGAAACAGTAATTCCTATCAAATAGGAGGTAAAATCTTTTGTAAAGAGACATGGACATGACACGCTCAGCTTTATGTCACTTTTTTAAAAATGCCAAGGGCACTTGAGAAATTCTTGGCTGCTGAATCATACCTTTTTTCAAATTTCTCTTAGGTAAGACACTCCAGCTTCTTCAAACCTTGGTACTGTTCCTTCCATGTAACAAACCAAAGGAAAAAACAAATTAAATTAAAACAAAACCCATGAAATAACATTTGAGACCACACAATTGCTCAGCAGGCCCATGTAAACACTATTCAAGAAGCTAGAGGTACAGAAGCCTCAACCTTCAGCCCATGGCCTGAAGTTTTGTCTCTATCATGGCCCCTCAATTCCCTGGCATGTCCACATTAACTCATGAATCTTTACTCATTTCCTTTTCAAATGCACAGGATCCAATATATTTGAATCCTGTTCACCTGGGCAGTAATCATCCAAGGACACACCAGAGGAAGGGCAGCCACCCCCTTGCCTGGGGCCTTGGAGCTTATCACAATAGAAATGGACACCTGAACAAGGGGAACCAAAACAAAGAGAGGCATATTCCTAAAGCCTGAAGCACAGAAGCTACATATAGACCAGTAGTGGGATTTCACAAATTACGTAAGAATCTCTGTGCACATGCTTGGCATGGTTGCTCATGCCTATAATCCCAGCCCTCTGGGGGCTGAGGTGGATGTATCCTTGGGAGTTCCACTCCATCATGGGCTACGAATTTATCTCAAGGCCTCTTTTAACAACTACATAAGATGTTGTTTCCAAAAAGAGGACAACAGAAAACTAGACACACTTGGTCCAGGTCCCTGGGTTCACTACACGAGTTGTGGAGTCTAAATATTCCATGCCATGAGAAAATACCTGGGATTTTTAGGGAAAGGGGCATTTGCATCCCGTTTCGAAGGGTTTCCCTTTCACCATGTTACATTTGAATTCTGGGAAGACCTGCTGGTGATAAGCTATCTAGTATAATGTTGGATTAGGTATTGAGCTAGTACTGTTAGGGCTGACACCGCAGGGAAAGAGACCCCAAGGACTCAGCTCGTAGTGAGGAGTAAAAAGTTTATTTCCATGCGCATGGGGTCCCCCAGGCAAACAAGTGCAGAGGGGCCCCGAGGGGAATTTGTGTAGGGTTTTTAAGGGTACAAGCGGGAGGCAAGCAAGTTTACAGAAGCAAATCGCATTGTTTAATTTTGAGCAGCATAGGATTTGGCAGAAATTGATTGGAGGGGTTTGGGGTTGAGTAACCATGGAGACTGGGGGTCCTAGCCCAGTCACTATGTGCCCAGAACAGAACAGTTACTTGTCTTACTTATCTTGTTGAGACAGAATGACTTTGCAGGTGCATTCTTTCTTTTTTTTCTCTGCTCTGATAGCTCTGGGGAGTTAGGCATTTCTTTCTGCTCTGCTCTGATAGTTCTGGGGAGTTAGAGAGTTAACCCTTTTATTCCCCGCTCTGGGGAGTTAGGGAGTTAACCCTTTTATTCCCCCGCTCTGGATAGTTAGGGAGTTAACCCTTTCATTTCTGCTTTCTATAACTCGGGCAGGGGGTTATAGCAGGGGGGTCAACTCTCACATTCTCCCCTTTTCTTTTTTGATGACTTTTAATCTTAAAGGTCCTGTATTGGTAAGGGGTCATACTGTTGACGTAGCACCATAACCTTTACTTGAGAGATCTGAGCCCTCACAAACTGGGTTACTCGGTTAATGAGGTAAGGGGCTATAGCCATGACTATAATGAATCCAGCCAGGGGTCCCAGTAGAGGGAGAATATAGGGCAGGATTGATTCCCAGAAGGAGAACATTTTGGCTTCACTTGAAGGGGGCTCTCGAGATTTAATTCTCTTTCTTAGCTTTTCCATTGCATCTTTTACAATCCCAGTATGATCAGTGTAGAAGCAACATTCTTCCCTAAGTGCAGCACAGAGACCGCCTTCTTTTAAAAACAAAAGATCTAAGCCTCTTCTGTTTTGTAACACTACTTCAGATAGAGACGAGAGAGATTGTTGTAATGCAGTTATAGAAGTCTCTAAGGCCTGTAAATCCTGGTTTACTACTGCAAGAAGCTGTTGGCAAGACTGGTGTCCAGTAATGAGGGCTGCTGTACAAGTTCCTATCCCCCCTGCCACACCTATCCCTAATAAGACTGCCAGAGTCAGGGAGACAGGTTCCCGTTTATATCGACCTTTTATGAGGGGGAGCATGTCAGGAGGGAGATACTTAATGCGTGGCATAAGGTCTATGAGGATGCAGGAGCTGTCCCCTGCAAGGAGTACATTTGTGGAAACACAAGGGCTGAGCCCCGTAGTACATAACCAGAATGCCCCAGTGGGAGGGATGAGGTACTGGTTTTTGGGGAAGGAGCGGGTATATGTGAGGCAGCGATGGCGTAGATCTGCAGGCCAATTATCAAGTGTCCCTATACAGGTTCCTCGGCTAGTGAGGCCAGGTAAAGGAAGGGTGTGGAACACGTGATCCCAATCGCACTGGTCGGAATTGGGGGTCAGCGTATAGGAATCATTTAGAGCAGTCCCCTCATAATATGGAGGGTTAGCACTTAAACATAACCAACAAGCTTGGGCCAGGTCTGGATGGGTAAGATTAAGGGCTCTATGAGCCCCAAGTATAAGGTTAAGGAGAGAGTTCACAGTTGGAGGGACGAGTCCCGACTCAGGAGGATTAGTTAAATCCCCGGAGGGGGTGCGAGGTGAGGTCATGTGTTCTCGATTTTGGGTAGCCTTGGGCCCCAGGGATAAAAATCTTTTAGCAGTTGTTGGGGCCAGTGGTGGCGGGGACAGCCTTGTTTCCGGTTTTAATTCTTTTTTGATAAACAAATATCCCCCTGAGTCTTTTCCACTTTGATAATATCTAAACCCCCAAGTTTTTCCGGTGATCCATGAAGGCTCTTGGGGGGTAAGGACCGTGAGTTGTAGGTTTAGGCAGGGTCCAGGTCCCTGGCTTGACTCGGCATCCCAAGCCCCACCATAACAAGTGGGGGGCTTTGGGCGAGCTCCAGTCGACCTTGAAAGACTAATGTGTTGGTCCCTTATGGTGGGTGTCCACGCAGTGGCCACCGTCTCACATCCCCAATAAGCACAGTAATATTCTCCTGGGGAGTTACAATAGGTTCTTCCCTCCACTGAAGTTGGGCATAGGTAAACACCCTGAGATGGATCCATACAGGGGGCTTGAGGGACAATATCGCAGGAAAAGAAGGCAAAAGTGGGATTACCTGATCCTTCCCATTTGTCTACCACCTCTTGGTTGTCCCACTTAATCAATGACCAGATCCAAGGGCGGTGGGGGTTAGCTATTGCAGGGGTGACTAGCATTAACATGAGTAATCCCATTATAGTCCAGGGGGTTACAATCTGGGGTCTTTGTTGGATCATCTTGCAGAAACAGCATTAAAGAGTCTTTCGGCTCAGTTTAAGTTTCAAGGGGTTATCAGACCGCTTGAGTTCCCAGGAGCTGTCCTCTGGTACTGAAGCAGGCTTTAGATGCGACGCGTGGATCCAAGAGGCGACTCCGTCAACCTTTACCGCTGTAGGAGTAGTCAATAGGACCTGGTATGGTCCTTTCCAGCGAGGCTGTAGAGTCTCTTGTTGGTGGCGCCGGACGAACACAAAGTCTCCCACTTGGTATGGATGTGGCGCGGGGAACTCACTGGGGGCGTAGGCTGAGGCCAGCTGCGTCCACACGTCCCTCTGTAGATTGTCGAGGGCGATGAGCCTGTCAGACAGGGAGGTTGGCAACAAGGCAGCATGTTCGGTTAAGGGAGTGAGGTCTCGAATGGGGGGTGGAGTGCCAAAGAGGATTTCGAAGGGAGTAAGGTTAGGGGTTTTGGCAGACGGGGTGTTTCGCGTGCGAAAAAGGGCATAAGGCAGGAGCATCGTCCAATCCTTTAAGCCAGTCTCATGAGCCAATTTAGTGAGGGTCTCCTTAATAGTTCTATTCATTCTCTCTACCTGTCCTGAGCTTTGGGGTCTATAAGCACAATGTGATTTCCAATCAATCCCCAATATGTTGGCCAGTCCCTGACTTACCTTAGCCACAAACGCCGGCCCATTATCGGACCCTATTACCTTTGGCAATCCGAACCGGGGAAATATTTCTTCCATCAACTTTTTTGTTACCATGGCAGCAGTTTCCTTTTTGGTAGGAAAAGCCTCAGTCCATCCAGAGAAGGTGTCTACAAAAACTAGCAGATATTTTAGTACGCATCGGGCAGGCTTAACTTCTGTAAAGTCCACTTCCCAGTATTGTCCAGGTCTGGTACCACGTAGCCTTTTGCCGGGGGCCAGCTTGGCAGGGTAGGCATTGGTCAATTGACATGCCTCACAATTAGCCACAACCCGAGTGGCGACCTGACGTATGGCAGTGGGGGATGCCCCCGGGAAGTCTTGGCGGTGGGCCAGTAGGCTCAGTTTTTTAGCTCCCAAATGGGTGAGCCGGTGGGCCTGTTGTATGTAAGCAGTCAGATCAGATGTTTCAGGGGTTTGGTTAATCTGAGCTTTCTCCTTTGGAGGAGTATCTTTGACATCAGTCACCAACATCTGTGAGTCTCCCATGGCTGCAGATTTTGCTGCCTGATCGGCCAGGTTGTTTCCCCTTGTGATGGGATCAGTCCCTTTCTGGTGGCTGTTACAGTGTATTATCGCCACCTTCTGGGGCAACATAACTGCAGCGAGCAATTGAAGGATTTCCTGTTTGTGTTTTATTTCTTTTCCTGCGGAGGTCAGAAGCCCCCGCTGGCAGTATATGGCCCCGTGGATATGGGCCGTTGCAAAGGCATATCGGCTATCCGTGTAAATGTTTGCTCGCTTTCCTTTGGCAAGCTCTAGAGCCTTAGTCAAAGCAATCAGTTCGGCTTTTTGGGCCGAGGACCCGTCCTCTAGTCTGGCTGTCCAGATAACATTGGAATAGTCAGTCACAGCCGCCCCCGCATACCGCTTACCTTGAATCAAAAAGCTACTCCCATCAGTGAAGTAGGTCACCTCTGCGTCGGGTAGAGGGCAATCCAATAAGTCCGGTCGTACTCCGGCCTCTTCTGCCAAGACGTCCTGGCAGGTATGGAGGACGGGTTCCGGAGCTTCTTCCGGCAGCAGGGTCGCCGGGTTGAGGGTCACCGGGGGTCCAAAAGTTATCTTGTCTTTGTTGAGCAAGAGACTCTGATAATGAGTAACTCTGGCATTTGAGAGCCACCTGTCTGGAGGCTGGTGGATGATGTTTTCTAACGTATGCGGGGCAATGATTGTTATTTTTTGTCCTAAAGTCAATTTGTCAGCATCTTTGACGAGCAAGGCAGCCACTGCGATGGCCTTTAAGCAGGGCAGCCACCCGCTCGCCACAGTGTCCAGTCTTTTCGAGAGGTAGGCCACCGGACGCCTCCATGGCCCAAAAGCTTGGGTCAGTACTCCTCTCGCTACTCCTCTCTTCTCTTCAATGAAGAGAGTAAAGGGTTTATCCACATTAGGAAGGGCCAGGGCCAGAGCGGACAGGAGAGCCCGCTTGATGGCATCAAAGGCCTGTTGGTGATCCTTTTCCCAGACAAAGGGAGATCCCCCCTTCAGTAACGGGTACAGGGGAGCTGCCAAAGTTGCGAATCCGGGGATCCACATCCGGCAAAACCCCACGGTGCCCAGGAACTCTCGTAATTGTTTTTGACTTTTTGGAGGGGGAATCTGGACCACAGTCTGCTTTCTGGCCTCAGTGAGCCATCTTTTTCCCCCTTTCAAGGAGTAGCCTAGAAAAATTACCTCTCGCTTACAAATTTGAGCCTTTTTTGCCGATGCCCTATACCCCAGGATAGCCAACTCACGTAAAAGGTCCTGAGTTCCGCTTGTGCAGTCACCCTCAGAGTCCGCAGCCAGCAGCAAGTCATCTACATATTGAAGAAGGGTGAGGTTCGGGTGTTGAGCCCGAAAGGGGGCTAAATCCTTATGTAGGGCTTCATCAAAGATGGTTGGGCTGTTTTTGAAGCCCTGTGGGAGGCGCGTCCAGGTCAGTTGTCCGGTGGACCCAGTCTCGGGGTCCGTCCATTCAAACGCAAACAAGGGCTGGCTATCTTTGTGCAAAGGCAAACAGAAAAAGGCATCCTTTAAATCCAGAACAGTGTACCAAGTCCTTGATGGATTCAACCCGCTGAGGAGATTATAGGGATTGGGTACGGTTGGGTGAATGTCCTCCACCCTGCTATTGACCTCTCTTAAGTCCTGTACCGGTCTGTAGTCATTTGTCCCGAGCTTTCTGACCGGGAGTAACGGAGTATTCCATGCAGACCGACAAGGAGTTAATACCCCTTGGTTTAAAAGTCTCTGTATGTGCACCTTAATCCCTAGGTGAGCTTCTCTATTAATGGGATATTGTTTAACTCGAATAGGGGAGGCGGTGGCTTTTAAAGTAACCACTACAGGCGGTTGCTGGCTTGCCAGCCCGAGTCCAGCCGTCTCGGCCCAGGATTCTTTAAAATCAGTTAGCCAGGCTGGGGCGATAGGCTGGGGATCCTGGTGGTCATAGAGCCTATATTCATCTTCCAGTTTTAGAGATAATACCGTAACCATAGGTTGCCCAACCTTTGGGTTACGGAATGTCACTTGAGGTCCTTGGTGCTCAAAGGAAATCTTTGCCCCCAGTTTGGTTAATAAGTCTCGTCCCAGGAGGGGAGCAGGGCATTCAGGAATAACTAGGAAGGAGTGTTTTACTTTTCCTTTGCCTAGGTCAACTGTGCGCTCAGTGGTCCATGAGCGATATTTGCTCCCGTTAGCCCCTTGAACTAACGATTTCTTAGTTGAAAGGGCCCCTAAGGGGGCCTGAAGGGCCGAATAAACAGCTCCCGTATCGACCTCGAATTCCACGGGAGTCCCCTCCACTTTAAACATTACCCTGAGCTCGGGGAGGGGGTCCGAGCCCCGAAGTCCCTAGTCTTCTTCATCTAGGGCGAGCATGGGGGCTCGGGATCGCTGCGAGGGCTGCTTTTCTCATTCCTCTTTGGCCCGTTTCTTTTTTAACTTTTCACAGTCTTTGATCAGGTGTCCTTTCTCCTTACAATATGCACATTGGTCAGGGTCTAATGGAGGGCGAATGGGCTTTCCCTTTCCTGGCTCAGGTTTTCCCTGAATAACTGTGGCCAACACCTTAGCTAATTCCTTGTTTCGTCTTTTGTCCCTAGCTAACTCTTTTTCTTCCTCTGTCTCCCGTTTATAGTAGACTTTTTCAGCTTCCTTAACAAGATCCCTCAGAGTTAGGTCTTGGAGACCATCTAGCCTTTGGAGCTTACGTCTTATATTGGGGGCCGATTGCCCTATGAAGGCCATAGCTATCGAGCCTTGTCGGCCTTCCTCCTCAGGGTTAAAAGGCGTATATCGCCGGTAAGCTTCCATCAGGCGTTCTAGAAAAACTGAGGGAGTCTCAGTAGGTCCTTGGGTAACTTCTCTTACCTTGGCCAGATTAGTGGGGCGCCTTGCGGCCGCCCGGAGACCTGCCAGTAGAGTCTGGCGATAGGTAGAAAGACGCTGCCTACCGTTAGGTGAGTTGGGATCCCAGTTGGGGCGCTTTAGGGGGAAGGAGTCATCAATCAGGTCTGGTCTCTGGGTGGGTCTGCCATCTTCTCCAAGAACAGCTTTCCGGGCTTCCAGGAGGATGCGGTCTCTTTCCTCGGTGGTGAACAGAACCCCTAGGAGTTGTTGACAGTCGTCCCATGTGGGTTGGTGGGAGAACATAACAGAATCCATTAGACCTGTTAGCTTAGAAGGATCATCAGAAAAAGGAGGGTTATTGTTTTTCCAGTTATAAAGATCTGAGGTAGAAAAAGGCCAGTACTGTAGAGCGGGCATCTGCCCTCCATCTGTCCCATCATCTATCATGGGCCCATAGGGGCGGAGAGGGAGGGCAACGACTGGATCCTCCGGCCGCAGCTTACTCCGGGTGTTCTGGGCTGGGCCTGTGGGCCCCGGAGGCGCGGGCTCGGGGCAAGCCATTGTAGGGAGAGGGGGATATAGAGGGGACGGGGGTATCGGAGGAGAAGAGGGATTCGGTTCAGGTGAAGAGGGGGCTGACGGAGAAGCAGCACTTGATCCAGACGAGGAGGCTGGAGGAGAGAGTGGGTATGGAGGAGGTTGAGTCAGCTGGGAAGGAGGAGGCCGGTCATAGTCAAGTAAAGGTAGATCAGGCTGAGACTCGGGCAGGACCGGAGCCGGGGTGGGAGGTCCTTTCAGAGCTAAAAGCTTTGGTACAGATGAGTCAGAAGGGGGAAGAAAGGGTTTTACCCATAGTGGGGGTTCCTCCCTGAGGTCCTGCCATACCAAGATGTAAGCGACCTGATCAGGGTGCCCCCTTTGCCCGGGGCGGAAGATGACGTCCTTAACTGCTAGGATGAGGGGCAGATGAAAAGTCCCCTCTGGTGGGCATCCCACAGAGAAAGTAGGCCACTCAGTCGAGCAGAAATCCTGCCACTTATTCTTCTTGACCTGCAAGGAGAGATTGTGAGCCCTCTTCCGCACCTCCGATCAATGGTCGAGGGTGAGGGACAATGGGGATGAGGTCGATTGTCCCATGATGTTCTATTGTCACAGGGCGGTTAACGCAAGCGCGGTACAAGAAATAACCAATCACGACACCCACGACACACAAGACAATCAGGCCGGCCACTTCATTCACATGCATACGCATCAGTTTCACTCCAAATGAGACACATTATAGCTTAGTGTCTTAGTGTCTATAGCACAGTGTCTCCAGATTAGCCCGGACGGACCACAGACTGGGAATCGAAATCCCCCAGATGAGTCACCTCAAAGGGTGTCTCCAAATTGGCCCAGACGGACCACATATTGGGAATCGAAATTCCCCAGATCGATAGGGAGGCCCTATCGCAGACGGTGAGCCACGGAAACCATGTGGGGCGTCCCCCAGTCACCTGGGAACAGAGTGCAAAACAGATAACAAAAATTGCCCCTAGGTCGGAGCCATTTGGCTTGGGGCGTAAACACCGGTGGATCGATCTTCAAAATGAGAAGCGATCAGTCCTACTCACCCGCAGAGCCGTTGGGGTCACCTCCCGTGAGACGTGCTTATCTCGCCAGGGCCTCCATGATGTTAGGGCTGACGCCGCAGGGAAAGAGACCCCAAGGACTCAGCTCGTAGTGAGGAGTAAAAAGTTTATTTCCATGCGCATGGGGTCCCCCAGGCAAACAAGTGCAGAGGGGCCCCGAGGGGAATTTGTGTAGGGTTTTTAAGGGTACAAGCGGGAGGCAAGCAAGTTTACAGAAGCAAATCGCATTGGTTAATATTGAGCAGCATAGGATTTGGCAGAAATTGATTGGAGGGGTTTGGGGTTGAGTAACCATGGAGACTGGGGGTCCTAGCCCAGTCACTATGTGCCCATAACAGAACAGTTACTTGTCTTACTTATCTTGTTGAGACAGAACGACCTTGCAGGTGCATTCTTTCTTTTTTTTCTCCACTCTGATAGCTCTGGGGAGTTAGGCATTTCTTTCTGCTCTGCTCTGATAGCTCTGGGGAGTTAGAGAGTTAACCCTTTTATTCCCCACTCTGGGGAGTTAGGGAGTTAACCCTTTTATTCCCCCGCTCTGGGGAGTTAGGGAGTTAACCCTTTCATTGCTGCTTTCTATAACTCGGGGAGGGGGTTATAGCAGGGGGGTCAACTCTCACAGTACCTCATATTTAGTGTTCAGGGTTATGCTGGAATGGCTGCGGACCTCCTTGAAATAGCAATTGCAGACATGTGAACCCCGAAGAAGCTGGATAGTTGAAGCAGGCACTCCAAATATTCATGCACTGCAAGGATTCACTTTCATTTTGGGACTCATCTTCTGGTTGCTGGCTTTTAGTGCTAACTGATACTACCATGGTGGCAGTAATCCAGCAGAGATTGCATGTATGGTTTGCAGGTTTGCTTCCCAAGCCACCAGAAACTCAGCAGAACCCACATCATTGTGGCATTTTCTTTCCTCCCCTGAAACATTTGGCTTTCTAAGTTTGAAAATTGAATAGACTGGGGTAGTCAAGTTTGGACCCCATGTACCACAAACAGAGCTAAAGACAGAGCCAATTACTTCCCTCCACTTGTCAAAATATGTCAAATTTGCTTGATCACCACAACTTCAAAGAAAATTCGGGGCAACTTAGAGAGGTGAATCAAATACTGCATGATTGGAATGGCTGTGGTTGTATGAGGTGGAGAGCTGCAGAGTTGGGCTGAAACTGTTCACAGAAATCCACAGGCTTGTGGTTGTCAGGCAACCACACTGGGCGGAGATTGGCTGAACATCACTGTGAGGTGGATTTTAGGCTCTAGGTGTGAAAATGTAAAAGACTGGTGTAGTCATTTTGGAACCCATAGACCTCAGACATACCAAAAGGTTTTCCAATTACTTCCCTCCACTTCTCAAAATATGTCAAATTTTGTTGATCACTACAACTGTAAAAAAAATTCTGAGGCAACATAGAGAGGCTAATCAAATACTGCATGATTGGAATTGCTGTGGTTGTATGAGGTGGAAAGCTGCAGATTTGGGCTGAAACAGTTCACAGAAATCCACAAGCTTGTGGTTGCCAGACAACCACACTGGGCTGTGATTGGCTGAGCACCATTGTGAGCTGGACTTTAGGCTCTAGGATACAAGTGTGCAGTAGGAGACCTGAGTCACAATGCTGGGCGTTTCCATGGAGACCTCAGTGGCACAGAGGACCTTGTAGGGCAAGATTTAAATAGGATGAATATTCTTGGCCTGGTATGCCACAATATTCTCTCTGAAGGCTTCACTGCTCAGAATTTGTGGATGGAAATGCTTGCCAATCTACACATAGATGTACTTTCAATGGGATATGAAATATTCCAGGGCCTGGCAGATGATCTCTGACATGTCCTATCATTGAGCATACCCTTTTCCCTTGTCATGTGTGTCATTTGGCTGAGTCCTATTCCCTAAGCTATTCAGTCAAAACTTACTGGCATCATTCACCTGCAGTATAAGAGCTTTCTGTGAAATTTCTCAGCAGAAATCCTCTGCAAGCACATAGCTTTGGATATGAGAGATAGTGGTGGAAGTTGAATTTCAAGGGCAGATATTTGAAAACAATGAAACAAGCCCCAAATAAGATCTTTACATGTTTCCCAGATGAATATGTTTGGAAATATTGGGGAAGATGGAGATCAAGACTGAGAAGAGTGCACACCCATTTCAAGGTACAAAAACCAGGGAAAAACATGGGAAAGCAAGAGAGCTGGTTAATCTGATGTAAAAATCTTTGATGATGAAAGGAAAAGTATATTCTCATGATGATTTAATCAGGCTTTAGAAGTGAAGTTCTCATGTTGGTTGTCCTATGTGTGGCCTTCTGCATTGGGCAGTGGATGCAGGACAGGAGATCTTCAAATAAATCTGGTGGAACACAAAATACTGAAAAAAATCAGCCTAAATCCTGTGTATTCCTTCCCTTTGAGAACATATATGGAGAATGTACAAAGTTTCAAAAGAGAAAATGTCTATTGGGTCATGGTTTCACCAATGAAATGGTCACATCGCATAACATTTTGAATTTTGCTTTCACACTTGCTCCTGTACCGGGCCTGAGTAAAGCAGAATGCAGAGTAAGCCTGTTCAATAGATGTGCATTCCATAAGTGGTTTTAAAACCAGTGAAACCCTTTGGACTTAGTGTTTGTATTTTATTTGTTGATTTATTTTTCAAATTGTTTGTTTTACTCTTTTTAACTATGAGTCAGGGAAGCCCTCACTCATAGTGATTTAGACCTCTCCAAAATCTCTGAAAGTATTCATGTAACAGCTATTACATGTTATAAGTTTCTCCTATTAAAACGTGAAAGACTAACAGACTCTGCCACTTTTCATCTAAATTCAGTGTTGGGCTAAATTCAGTGATGGACTTTTTACCAATCCTTTGAAATGTGTCCTCCTCTAGCCACTGGTCGTGCTCGAATTTACTTTCTTGTGAAGACAGGATTTGAGCAAATTGACACAAGTACAGTTTGCCACTACTCTGCACACCTGGATAAGTATCGAGTTCCCTAAATGGTGTGTGTTTTATTTTGATCTCTTCTCACACTTTGCTCATCCAGTTAGAACCACAGGGCTCCAGGCCATAGCGTTCCAGGCCTAAACAAGAAAATTTCCATTCCGTTTTGGGAGTTCATTCGTCTCTCATAATTACTTTTTCCACAAATGTGTGCTTAAGGAGACGCCCTGTCCAAATGTGGAGAGGCTCATTTTCATTCACTCACTTTCAGACTTTCTAAAATTTTCAGTTACTAGAGGTTTGCCCAGACTTGCCATTGTCAAGGGACAGTGCACTTCACTTGAAGTTGTGCAGTATTACTTCATGTGTCTCCATGGAAATTCCACCAATGGGAAACTCTTGCTGTAGTCATCTCCAAGTGTTGCTGCGTAAGAAAATATAACTAACAAAGAATGTGGTTTCAAGCAGAATGAGGAAAGGAGGGATTATCTTTATTTCAGTGCAGGTTGACCTTTCAAAGAAACAGTAATTCCTATCAAATAGGAGGTAAAATCTTTTGTAAAGAGACATGGACATGACACGCTCAGCTTTATGTCACTTTTTTAAAAATGCCAAGAGCACTAGAGAAATTCTTGGCTGCTGAATCGTACCTTTTTTCAAATTTCTCTTAGGTAAGACACTCCAGCTTCTTCAAACCATGGTACTGTTCCTTCCATGTAACAAACCAAAGGAAAAAACAAAATAAATTAAAACAAAACCCATGAAATAACATTTGAGAGCACACAATTGCTCAGCAGGCCCATGTAAACACTATTCAAGAAGCTAGAGGTACAGAAGCCTCAACTTCAGCCCATGGCCTGAAGTTTTGTCTCTATCATGGCTCCTCAATTCCCTGGCATGTGCACATTAACTCATGAATCTTTACACATTTCCTTTTCAAATGCACATTTTCCAATATATTTGAACCCTGTTCACCTAGGCAGTAATCATCCAAGGACACACCAGAGGAAGGGCAGCCACCCCCTTGCCTGGGGCCTTGGAGCTTATCACAATAGAAATGGACACCTGAACAAGGGGAGCCAAAACAAAGAGAGGCATATTCCTAAAGCCTGAAGCACAGAAGCTACCTATAGACCAGTAGTGGGATTTCACAAATTATGTAAGAATCTCTGTGCACATGCTTGGCATGGTCGCTCATGCCTATAATCCCAGCCATCTGGGGGCTGAGGTTGATGGATGCTTGGGAGTTCCACTCCATCTTGGGCTAAGAATTTATCTCAAGGCCTCTTTCAACAACTACATAACATGTTGTTTCCAAAAAGAGGACAACAGAAACCTAGACACACTTGGTCCAGGTCCCTGGGTTCACTACACGAGTTGTGGAGTTTAAATATTCCATGCCATGAGAAAATACCTGGGATTTTTAGGGAAAGGGGCATTTGCATCCCGTTTCGAAGGGTTTCCCTTTCACCATGTTACATTTGAATTCTGGGAAGACCTGCTGGTGGTAAGCTATCTAGTATAATGTTGGATTAGGTATTGAGCTATTACCTCATATT